TGTATTTCCTAACCATAGTTAAGCTTCGTAAACCAATTCCACAGACATGATCCTCAAATCTCCACACTATAGGGTGCGATTATCCTGAGCAAACTCACCAACCTGTGAAATCACATGGGTGGGATTGTGCTCCGCGGGCGCCCGCCTGTCTCTAAGCAGTAAGCCAATCCCCTGGAGTCTGAGCACCGTACAGACACACATCTGTGTCTGTCTTACAAACTCACCCCATCATATAGCCGTCTTCCCTGTCAGTCATGAGACATAACAAAGAGATGTCTGTTTGGTCTACAGACCTGACCCCTGCCCCGTGAATATTACCCCACAACACGGCTAAGAGGCCAGACACATTCTTCTGTTATCTATACATGAATACTTCAATGAGGCAGATCCCTAGATCAGACTGCTCCATTTCATTATCAAAAAATTAAAATATGTAGGCATATGTAGCATATCTATAAAATGCTATATCTATAAAATATATATAATGATTTGTGTAGGATCATGTGACAGTGAGGACTGGAGTAATGGCTGATGAAAGTAAATTATATTTTAAAGCATATTAAAATAGAGAATGTACTCAGACACTGATGTAACCTTGGTTCCATGAGATAATGGGGAATGGGAAAAACTGAAATACTGAAGCCAGATTGAATCATGCAGTAAACATATGGCGCTGGAGACTGGCGAAATGGCCAGGGCTACCTATAACGGACAAAATTTGCCATGATGTTCAGAATCTTTTGAATAAAAAGCATCGAGCGCCATGTTGTGCAACATGGTAGCACGGCCAGCTACACAATACCAGAGACTATTTATATAGAGACATGTCACTTCCTCAATCCGTAATACAACTATATAGCGAAACCCCGTAACACCAAAGATGGCGGTTGTATGCACATGCTCTGCCCCTCCCGCTGGAAAGCCAATCGTCTGCTTTTAACAGTCAAGCTGGGAAACATTTAGGCCTATCGTCTGGTTCCACCGACGCATGCGCACAGTTGAGGTTTGTGACAGTGGAAAATATGTTACTGTTTGAAAAGGCGGCAGATTTGATATGTGTTAGTTGTGTAAATATCCAACATGACATCATGACTTTTGCGTAAACATATACGCCACTTTCGAGTCAGGTGGCGTGTTATCTCTACGCATTTTGAGCTATCCACGTGTATCCGCGTGTATGCGTATACGTCTACGCCATTAACGTCCCCGTCATTCCGCGTGTCTGTACACGCAGTCAAATCTCCAGTCATAACTGCCATTAACCCCAGTGACGGTTAAGTTTAGGGATGGGGTTGAGGTAAGTCAAATCTTTTTTTTACCTTGGATGGTAAGGGAACAGTCATAAATGCCATTAACCCCAGTGACGGTTAGGTTTAGGGACGGGGTTGAGGTAAGTCATATATTTATATAACGTTAAGTCAACGGCGTTCATAAACACGCTGAAAGGCGATTATGCGTCTTGATAGCACGCCAAAAATGGAAATACGAATTGGCGTGTCATACACATGCTACTTCATGAGATCAGTCTGAAATATCAGACATTGCAAGTCTCGCGGAAGTTCCGGGAATCTCCTGCATATTGATAGTGGCTCCCTGATGACAGCAAATTAGTTAAAATCTCCCATAATCTAGAGCGAGTGAGCAGTAGCGCGCACATACTGTGCTTCAAACCGTGTAGCGCGCATGACAGAGAGCGAGAGAACCCTTGCGCATGCGCAGTAAAAGTATAACCTGTGGGGGGAAAGGCGTTTTAAACCTTATTCTGAGTTGAAGTCATCAAACTTTTTCAGAGATTTTTATCAGATTTTTATTACTGTTTCCATACAAGCAGTTTTTATGTCCTGGTGACCAGTGAAAGTGCAGTTCTGAGTCCCTGCCCAGTCATTTAGATAGGAGCCTGGTCTTGTTAGTCAGAAATAGCTGCCAGGAGGTGGCTGAGTGGCATGACTTGCCTAAAAGGACTTTGACAATACTCATTCCCGTTATCTCAGGGAACTGAGGTTACATTAGTAACTGAGTACGTTCCCTATCGATCCTTGTTCGTCCATCAAAAGTTGATGATTACCATGCCATGTTTGTCATTTTGTTGGGTTTTGATGAGTGCACAGATGGCTAAAGAGGCCAATCCAAGACCGGGTATTCCCTGTGGCACACTGGACAGGTCAGGAAGGATGTAGAACTCTGAGGTGCAACCACATGCTCTTCCTTGGTAAATTTGCACAGCTGCCTCTTCAAGATAGCACAGGAGATCAAGATCATCTCCAGCTCTCACAGAGGATTGCACCGTCCTGGACTTTTCTACTCCAGGCAGATCGGTCCTGTGCTAGGTATTCTCAGCTTTTCAGGTCGAGTCCAAAACTCTTCAAGGAAGCTTTACTGTAAGTGTGTCCTTGTAGCGCTTTTTGGGGCCACCTTGTCCTCGCTTGCCTTTTTTCAGCTCGCTAAAGAAAACTTGTTTTGGAAGTTTCACGTAAGACATCCTAGTCATGTTACCAGTCCATCAACGCTGTTCCTTCGCAAGCATGGTGTAGATGCTGGGGACATTTGCCTTGCTGAGGACTTCCGTGTCAGGAATTATGTCTTGCCACTTGATCCTCAGCAGTTTCCTCAGACCGCTCAAGTGGATATGATTCAATTTTTTGGCATGGCACTGATAGACTGTCCAAGCTTCGCAACCATACAGAAGAGTTGGCAAAACAACAGCCCAGTAGACCTTCAATTTTGTCTCCTGCTTGATGCCAGTCCTCTCCCATACTGAGTCACGTAGACGTCCAAAGACTGCACTGACCTTGACAATCCTGATGTTAACTTCATCATCTTCATCATGTGCACCGGACGAGACAGTGTACTACCAAGGTAAATAAACTTGTCAACGGCTGAAAGCCTTTGTCCATTCACAAAGATTTTGGGTTTCCCAGGAGCAGGTTGGTATAAGACTTCAGTCTTCTTTGTGCTAATTGTTAGGCCGAAGTTGGTGCAAGCTGAGGAGAGGTGGTCCATACTGTCCTGTAGATCTTTATGTGAGCCAGCAGCCAGAGCACAGTCATCAGCAAACAAGAGTTCTCGAACAGTGACTTCCTCCACTCTAGTTTTGGCTTGTATCCTCCGTAGATTGAATAGCCCACCATCAAAACGGTAGATGATGTGAATCCCAGTGTTGTAATTCTGGAATGAGTCTTGCAGCATGGCAGAAAACACCATGCTGAAGAGCATTGGCGCTACTGCGCATCTGTCTTCCCTGATTCGTCTGATGACCTGAGAGAGCAGCGTGATTGGGGGTAAGTCATACAGGGCTTAGGTTCATACAACCCCCTGAGGACACATTGCGCCAGGACTGCATGTATGCCCCTTGGTTCAACTTTCCCGGCATGTGCACTGCTTTTAGCGAGTTTTGCACTGTGCCCATAAGAGGAGGCATCTCACCACTTTGTACAGAGGCCTCAATTTGGTCCCCCTTGGTGGTTTATATTGGACATCCAGCTCTGTGATTGTACACCGTAAACTAAAGACAGTAACGAGAAATGATGTCAATTTTACCATATCAATCTGAGTGCAAAGATAAAACATTGGAAGAACACTAGTTCAACCCGATTTCAACCCGATTCACCCGGAACTTTCATCGCAGGATGTTTCTCAGTGATACACTACTCAGTTTGAGGTACATTGAGATGTTGCAACTGTAATTCTTCACCCTCAGCACTAACAAGTATGTCCAACAACAAACCGGTGTGTATTTTGAATTTTTTTTTTTGTTGCTGTGAACAATTGGGAACTGTATCAATAACGGTGCATACATGAGCTCATAGCATGAATGACTGATGTAACATAAACGTTGGTAAAATAAATCTTGCTCCATCCTTTATCTTTACTCAAAATAGTAAGAATGACAGACACATTAATAGACACAGTTTTAGGTAATAGTGATATAGTATTTCAGTAAGACAGTAATAACGAGATTTATCATTTAGCAGGAAACAATAAAGTATTTTGATAGATAGTATTTTGATATATTCATAGGTCGTGATTCTGAAGTTGGTCCAAATAAGCTGGGTACTACTGACCCATGTTTCTAGAGCAAGCGTTTGGCCAATCCTGCATTGAACTTTGAGAAGCATGATCAGTAAAATGAAGGGAACACAGCAAAAGTTTGGGGTTATACTGCTATGGAATCGTGGTAAAGATGAATTTTGACCACTGATTCTTCACAGCCTCATATTTTGGAAGCTTTCACAGCAGAAGGCACAGCGTCTATCACTCGACCACACAAACAAGCTATTGTCCAAGCAGAACATAGGTGGGCATTATGCAAATGTAGTAAGTTGTGACGTGAACTTCACGAAAATATATATTCAAACTCAAAACGACTCGTTTGAGTGGTTCAGAGTCGACTCTTTCTTTTTAGATAAAATATAAATAAATATAATAAAAATATTTTTTTTTAGGGATGAATTCACACAAAAATAAGACATTAATAATAATAATAATAATAATAGATTAATTTAAGATCTCTTTGAACTAGATGATTGCTGTCAAAATCGTAGCTAGAATAAATGAACATTTGTGTAACGTTAATTAAACTTTCAAAACATACCAGAGATAGCTATTGAGACCACTTTCTTGTGTGACAACTAGCCCAGTTTAAATATTCTAGTATAAAACGATTAATTATAATTAACTCATCACTACAACTCTACATGAAGAGTTCAGATACAAAAGCCTCTAAATGCCATTTGAAATTTTTTTCTTTGATGATTATTTTTATCAAACTTGTATATTTAAGTTCAGTAATTTCACTTAAATAACAATTAATAGGTAATTATCATTGCCATTTAAGTGAAATTACTGAACTTAAATATACAAGTTTGATAAAAATCATCATTAAAGAAGAAAATTTCAAATGGCATTTAGAGGCTTTTGCATCTGAACTCTTCACATGAACATAGAACGTTTATTTACTTGAAGGGAGAAAACCGGAACCGGAACTTACAACTGAGTTAGGCGGTACAGCAGACCCGGAAGTGACTTTAACGTTGTGGAAACGTGAGGTGCCTGTGTGCAGTTGTCCATTTCATTGAAGAAATTTAAGAAGTCAAACCCTTCTAAAACATGTAAGTTTACTCTTCTGCACACCGTATATTATGATAAATGTTTGAGTAGTGCTGCTGGGCCAGAAATAACCAGTTTATAGTTTTATGGCCGCTAAAAATTCATTTATTTAGCAAGACTAATGCTAATGTTAGCAGCTACAATGAGCTATTGTACTGATGATTATCATTCGTCCTTAGTGAATACTGTTATATGTATGTGTTTGTTTTGGAGGCGTTGTCTTTGTTAACTTAAATGGCTTGGATATTGTCTCTGTCTCTAATTTAGTATTACTTCCTTTTTTGCGCACTTAATTTCTGAATCATTACGTTACCGTTATGGCTTACGTTAATTTAGTGTGTAACGTTATGATTATGGTCTCTACACCAAACAACATGAAACAAAGCAAGATTAACTTTATATTTGTGTTATTCTAAGCTTTTGAGCACCAACTCTTCATATACTTTACCAAAATAGGTGGTGTGAATTGAGTGATACTCATGTTACCTGTTCATCCTCCACACATTCTCACTGTTGAAATGTTTTGTTAGGAGTTTGTTAAACAAGCCTAAATCTGAGATGACTCCAGAGGAGCTCCAGAAGCGTGAGGAGGAAGAGTTTAACACTGGTCCACTTTCAGTCCTCACCCAGTCTGTGAAAAACAACACACAGGTTCTTATCAACTGCCGCAACAATAAGAAGCTACTGGGCAGAGTCAAAGCGTTTGACAGGTACGTTATGTGAAGCCTTCTGTTGGATTTATTGTACACTGCAACACTCTACGGACACACTAAAGTGCGAGTCGCCATTGGCTAGTGCATTTTTACTTGGAATGCAAGAACAAGGCAAATGAAAAATAAATATAATACAAAAATAAAATATATATTTCAAGCACTATTAAATTCAATGTCAACATCATATCACAAAAGCTTTTGTGTCCTTTGAAATATGCCAAGACAGTGGGTCTCATTCACTAATAATTGTGTGGATTTCATATTTGTATGCGCAGGAGAACTTCTCACTCATGAATTTCTTAAAGGGATAGTTAACTTCACTGAAATAAATTTTTGGCAAATTTTAGCTTACCTCAAGGGCATCCAAGATGTAGGTGTCTTTGTTTCCGCAGTAGTTTCAATTTTCATATTTTTAGGTCAAACTGTTTTTGTCTGTCAATCATATAATGGAGGTCTATGGTCACCACCTCAAAGAGAAAGCACAGAGAAGTCCAAATTAAACATGATTTAATGACTCGTAAATGTAAGTACACATTGATGGCCTTAGACAAGAAACGAGTGGTTTGTGTGAGAAAACGAACAGTACTTGTATTGTTTTTACCACGTCCAAGTGATCTGAGAGCGCGGGTGCTTCGGTCTGCACAAGCGCTGGAACGCACCCGAAGTGATCTCTCGCACGGTAAAAAAAAAATAACGTCGTCTGATATATTATATATAATATATATATGATATATCGATGTATTGAAATCGTCTTCTGAAATCTCTGTGTGAGTGACTTACATGCGCGAGATATCACTTCCTGCACTTGCACAGACCGAAGTGCTTGCGCCCTCAGATCACTTGGAAGTTGCTGTGGTTACAAGAGGTAAAAACAATATAAATACTATTAGTTTTCTCACACAAACCACTCGTTTTGTGCCTTAGGCCATTAATGTGTACTTACATTTACGAGTTATTAAATCATGTTTAATTTGGACTTCTCTGTGCATGCTCTTTGAGGTGGTGACCATAGACCTCCATTTTATGACTGACAGCAGAACGGTTTGACCTAAAAATATCAAAATTGAAACTACTGTGGAAACAAAGACACCTACATCTTGGATGCCCTTGAGGTAAGCTAAAACATACCAAAAATCAATTTCTATGTGAACTATCCCTTTAACCTTGTTATAATGTTAATGAATTTGGATTTATTCTGTATGAGCGACTATGTGCCCAAGGTTAGTCATTTGCATAAGATTCACAAACATCACTAAATAAGGGATTTCTTTTATAGCCTTTCATTACTCTCTGCACACCTGACGTTTTCGAAAAATACACACTCTCACCTGAAGTACGCGCAGCAAGATGTGCCATCCTCAAAACCAGTTCAAACACAACACAAGCCCAGATTACAGACCTCACATTACTAGCCAGCTGTACATATGCTTGTCAGTGTTATGCTGAAAAAACCCACAGTAAACGCAATGCAAATGCGTCCAAAGGTTGCGTAGATAATGCATTTGAATTGACTTTGCGACCGTAAAAAATAGTATGCTCCATATAGTGTGTCTGTTGCGTTTCTTCACTTCCATTCACAAATAATCTAATGTGGCTTCATGGCTTAGTAAAGTGTTCATCGAATGCACACTTCAGAATCTCTGTGGAAGTATAAAATCATTTAGGATTTGCATCAGAGACAAATACTGTAGATAAACCGCTACTGTGAAAATATGTGAATAGATGCTAAAAAAATGAATTGGCTCAAATCATTATTTTATGTATATATAAAATTGCTAAACAAAGTTTCTATGAAATGGACTTTCAATGGTCACTAATTTTGACAATCGAAAGTAATCCAATTATATTTCAGATTTTGAAAGTTCAGTTTATATCAGTGGATCTCAACCTTTTTGACTAAGGTCATCCTCATTTTTCACAACAATATTTGAAGCCCCATCCTATAACTAGAAAAAAAAGACCAAATACTAAGAAATATCTCGATTTCTAGTTGTTTTGTCTTATGTTAGATCATTTTAAGTCATCTTCAGGGAAGTTGGAGGTCATCCCTTGGAAGTTGGATCATCCCTTGGAAGTTTGAGGTCCCCTGTGTGGGAACCAATGGTTTAAATGTTAATGAATTTGGATTTATTCTGTATGAGCGACTATGTGTGCCCAAGGTTAGTTATTTGCATAAGATTCACAAACATCACCAAATAAGGCATTTCTTTTATAGGCCTTGACATTACAGTCTATCACACATCTGTTTAAATGTGTGTGTATTCAAACCAAAACTTCAGACCAGACGCCTCGTTCAGAAGCGGAGAAAGGGTGGCAAGGTGTTTTTAAATCCGATTGAGAAAATTGTCGGATTCAAAAATTCACATGATCAATTTTTTATGTTGATCGGATCATTACCCATTTTAGTCTAAAAGAAATTTCATTCAATCATTAGGATCAAGTTGAGGCATTTAGATGAAGGCTTTTCTGTGCAATTGAACTTCAATCAACAGATTATTTAGGTGCATTTAAACAAATGCTGTTGTCTCTTTTCTCTGGATTTTCAGGCATTGCAACATGGTTCTGGAGAATGTGAAAGAAATGTGGACAGAGGTGCCCAAGAGCGGCAAGGGCAAGAAGAAGTCAAAGCCCGTGAACAAAGATCGTTACATCTCTAAGATGTTCCTGAGAGGCGATTCAGTCATTGTGGTGCTGAGGAACCCACTCATCACAGGGAAATAAACTTGACGTGTAACACGTCTATTCAAGTACAGGCAAACTCCTGGACACTCATACACCAGCTCACCTGCGAGCTGAACTCCCTCTGACTTAGCACATGTTAAAGTGTTTATTAGGCCTTTGAGCAACTTAATTTTGACATTAAGAGACAGTACACAGTTTGCCTTGTGCTGTAACAAATGTATTTTGCTGGAAAATGTTTAGCATCATCATGAGAGATGATTGGTCAAAGAGAAGATACAAAGAAGTTGCCATTTGTTTTTTTTTTGTTTTTTTTATGTTAAAGTGTGCTTTGTTTTCTAAATAAACTTTTGGATATTCAAATCTTTATAAATTCGTTGTGTGAATCTTTTAGAAATTAAAGGGTTAATTCACCCAAAAACGAAAATTTTGTCAGTATTTACTCAACCTCATGTTGTTCCAACCCTGTAAGACCTTCGTTCATCTTCGGAACACAAATTAAGATATTTTTGATGAAATCTGAGAGCTGGATCACTCCTGCATACTAGTCCATAGGCTTCTTGAGGGATTGAAACTTTCCAGCCTAGAAAAGTTATTAAAGACATCGCTAAAATAGTCCAAGTGACTAGAGTGGCTCAAACTTATCAATCGACAAGAATACTTTTTGTGCGCAAAAACTAACAAAAATAATGACTTTATTTCAACTATTCACTTCCTTCTCTATGGGCCTCTTGTCAATTAACGTAGTGTGATAGCGTAGAGCTACGTCACACGTAGGCTCACTATTGGCCGACGCTGGTCATGTGTGTGATGCGTGTGACGTACAATAACAGAAGCTTACGCTATTAAACTAGTAACCTGACTCGAGGCAGAGAGAGAAGTAAATGAAAAGTTGAATAAAGTCGTTATTTTTGTTGTTTTTTGCGCACAAAAGGTGTTCTCGTCATTTGATAAAGTTAAGATTGAGCCACTGTAGTCACTTGGACTATTTTAATGATGTCTTTAATAACTTTTCGAGGCTGGCAAGTTTCAATCCCTCAAGAAGCCTATGGACTAGTATGCAGGAGTGATCCAGCTCTCAGATTTCATCAAAAATATCTTAATTTGTGTTCCGAAAGATGAACGAACGTCTTACGGGGTTGGAACAACATGAGGGTGAGTAAATACTGACACTAACCCTTTAAAGTGGACCAAGTATCCCCTTTTTGAAGTCTTGGTTTTGTTTTTGGGGTCTACTGGAATAGTCTTTTTTCCCCTGACATATTTTACACTGTTGCGACACCTCTCTTCCCTGTCTGTCAGTAACACTCTGGCTGTTTCTCAAAAGCACTATCATAGAACGATTTGGCTCCAGTGCTCTCTACAATCAACTTGATGTTTTGACAAATACAGACCTGTTTATTTCCTGTCTCAATGAAGGAGGGGCTCCTTCTGAAAAGCACAATGTGCTCTGATTGGTTGGTTGGACCAGTGTGTTGTGATTGGCCAACCACTTTTTGTGAATTTAGGAAATGTCACCCTTAGCATAACTGTAGGTTTTAACACTACCAACTCAACCAGGCCTCGCCATGTTTTTGCGTATGCCTTGGCTGGGAATGATTGGGATGTGGAATGTTTGTTCCCGGAAGAAAACTCAGAGGCGTTTCAGGGAGTCCAGAAACAGTTTGCACTGATAAAGAGAATAACTCCCTTTGGAGGGACTTTGTGCTTTGTAACTTCATTCTCAAATGGCAACATTACACACTCAAGAAAGTTGAAAATGTAAGAAAGCATAATAGGACCCCTTTAACCGTTTACAGACAAAGCAGAAAGTGTTCATCAGAAGTTTCACATTCCTGTTTGTCCTCTTTCCTCTCTTCTCATCATTTCTCCCCCCTCCCTTCATCCGACTCTCATTTGGTAGAGTCCCTTGGCAGCAGCTTGGGTGTCAGTGTAGATTTCAGCAGGCAGCACTCAATAAGTGACAAACTGCCGTTTAAAGGCCTCTGCATTATTAATGTGACCAGATGTGCTGACTGTCACTTCACACCCCTGCCCTCCACAGTGGGCTCCGCTGACCCCTTGTACTAAAAGCCATTTTAAACCATTCATTTTTGTTTAAAAGGATTCGTCTAATGTTTCTGAAATGACAATTTTTGTTTTGAAAATTAGAATGAGCTCTCTGAATGGGGTTTATCATGGTAAAATATATATATATATATATGTAGGGTTAAATTTAAAAGTGTATATGGACAAAAGGGTTATCTCAGGACTTGACCTGAGAGGACAGTCTGAAAATCACTCAGTCAGGTTACTTAAATATTCAGTGGAACGGTGAAAATCCAACTCGGTGTATCAGTTTGGGTTATTGTGATCCACTGGTGTCATATTTATTAAATGTGTTTATTCAGTCATTTCTGTGTGTTTTAATGCTAAACTATATCAAACAAATGTATATTGATGGGATGTTAGATATGTGCTATAAATTGTTAATATGTGTTAGGTTAAAATATGTACATTTTTATTAATTTTATAATTTTTTGAATAGAAAAGAATCACTATATTTATATTATAAGCAAATTAAATATAAACTACGGTTTCGAACACAGTATTTATTTATTATTTTTTTTGTTAGATATGTGGTGTAAATTGTTAATATGTGTTAGGTTAAAATATGTATATTTTTATTAATTTTATACTTTTTTATTAGAAAAGAATCACTATATTAATATTATAAGCAAATTAAATGTAAACTATGGTTTAAAAATTTTTGGGGGGAATTTTTGTTAGATATGTGCTGTAAATTGTTAATATGTGTTAGGTTAAAATATTTACATTTTGATTAATGTTAGAATTTTTTTATTAGAAAAGAATCAGTATATTTATACTATAACCAAATTAAATATAAACTACGGTTTCGAACACGGTTTCAATTTTTTTTTTTCATTTTTGTTAGATATGTGCTGTAAATTGTTAATATTCGTTAGTTTAAAATATTTACAATTTTATTAATTTAAAATTTTTGTTTAGAAAAGAATCATTATATTATAAGCAAATTAAATATAAACTACGGTTTCGAACGCGGTTTAAAAAATTTTTTGGGGAATTTTTGTTAGATATGTGCTGTAAATTGTTAATATGTGTTTGGTTAAAACATTTACATTTTTATTAATTTTATAATTTTTTGATTAGAAAAGAATCGCTATATTTATATTATAAGCAAATTAAATATAAACTATGGTTTTGAACACGGTTTTAATTTGTTTTTTAATTTTTGTTAGATATGTGCTATCAATTGTTAATATGTGTTAGGTTAAAATATTTACATTTTTATTAATTTTATAATTTTTTGATTAGAAAAGAATCACTATATTTATATCATAAGCAAATTAAATATAAACTATACGGTTTCGAACACGGTTTAAATGTATTTTTGGAATTTTTGTTAGATATGTGGTGTAAATTGTTAATATGTGTTAGGTTAAAATATTTACATTTTTATTAATTTTATACATTTTTGATTAGAAAAGAATCACTATATTTATATTATAAGCAAATTAAATATAAACTACGGTTTAGAACACGGTTTAAAATATGTTTTGAAAGAAATTAATAGGATGGATTAAATTGTTCAAAAAGGGACAGTAAAGACATTAACAATGTTTTATTAAGTTTTCTATTTCAAATAATGCTTTTCTTTTAAGCTTTCTATTCAGTGATTTCTGAAGGATCATGTGACACTGAAGACAGGAGTAATGAACAGGAATAAATGACATTTTAATATATATTGAAATATTATTATTATTATTATTATTAATATTATTATTAAAGACCTACAATTGTACAGCTTGTTGAGAAATAGTTAGCTATTTCATGTCTTAGTGCTGAGCCTGGGGAACAAAAAATGGATGAGGAAAAAAAAAAAAATCCCATAAATCTATCTTGGATAGTAACATTCATTAAACCACAGACTTTTTCTTTAGAAAATGTAAGAAATTGTTTCATACAGTTTCACAAATGCTAAATGGAATCTAGTATCAAAAGATAACTCAGAAGGGTAATGAAAAAAAAGATTTATTGTACCATTAGCAGTGTGTCTGTTTCTGATAGAGTTAATGATCTTTTCCCATGCTCCTGAGCAGAGTGTGAGACGCTCATCCCGCTGTCTCCGTGTTCCCCTGGGCCGCTGCACCTGGATCTGTGTGGGTTTGCCTGAAGCTCTGAAAACTACAGTCATGACTTCCAGGTGACGCTTTAGCCTGAGGTCTTATCATCATGCTGTCGAAACTGAGATTTAGTAGTTTAGGTCTGCAATGTTTTGGTCATGTTTGAGTCATTTTATGGGGGAATTGTCTATTGGATCATGGTTTGATATGTTCCGTTTCAGACATAAATAGGGAAAACTCATCGCTCAGAATACTTGATCCTTGCCTGGCAGAAATAGAAAAACGCAATATTCTGAATAACTCACCTATAGCACACACCTAAAAAAGTGAACTTTTGATGAACTTTTGGAAAATGATCCTGGCTTTTTGCTTTTGGCACAGTTAAAGTCAGATCATTGATGGTCCAGTTAAAAACACACCCTCATAGATCTGAATTAAACTTGCAATACATCTTCATTTGGCACTGCAGCACTTTTAAAAATGTAGTTCTTGTTCTAGGTGTAAAAGCTTTTTTGTCAATAATGTATCATTGTATATTCATATACCAACCACAGAACAGTTATTTTTGAGGAAATAATTGGGGAACTTTTTCCTTAACTGACAAACTACATAGTTCAACCTGTCATGTCATATTGTTCCCATTATTGAAGCCACTTTGTCTAAATTTCAGATTCTCATTGGAGTATATACAAAATATCAAACCATGTGGCATCATTTACAAACAAATGTTCAGAATCGGTTTTCTTGACAGAGGTGTATAGTTCAACACATTAACATAATCAATAACATTTAACAATATTGTGTCACAATGTCACAATATTCTTCATTTTGAGCTGTGGGGTAAAATAAAACTTTTTTTCTTTTTTGCTAAAATTACTAAAACTACTTTTGCAAACTATAAATATTGTGATTTACAGGTCTAACAATATCAAAGTGAATTGTCAGTTTATTAAACCATGTCACCCTTTTACAAATGAATATTGCAAACACTTAAAATAAATTAAAAATGGCTGGTTTGTGAATAAACCTGCAGCAAAAGAAGAAGCACAATAAGTCAGAATGTTTCATACAAAATGTGGCATCATGGTATTAGCAAACAAAAAAAATGTATTAGCCTTAAAAAGAAAGCGTTTTCTTAAAATAAGATAGGCTAAGATATTGTTATAGCCTAACAATAACTGATGTTGAACTGAATTTTGGGGGGAACTATGTTGCATGTATTTT